CCTTTTGTTTGCTGTTAAGCACAAAAACATTTTGTTCAGATTGACCTCTTCTAGCAGCTAGATCCTCTAGTTCTTTTACTTTATTTAAAAGCGTTCTTCTTTTGTTATGCAAAAAATCGCATTCAGCCTTTGCTGTGCTTTTTTCCCGTTCACTATCCTCAAATTTCCTAGTTAATTCAGCTATCTTCAGTTCAAAGCTTTCAAAATCTGAGGACACCTTTTTGACTTGATCTTTTGCAATTTCAAGTTGAACACTTAAGGAAGACTTTTGGTCTAGATTCTGTTTCAGAACCCTGTGATTATTGTCTAGTCTCTCCTTTAGTTCTTTGATTAGATTGTCCTTCTCAAGTAAGGACTGCATTTGATTATTTAGAGAAGTATGTGAGGTACTTACAGAGCTTGTTGAGCACTCGCTTTCGGGGATCGCAGCATCACCCTTTCTTTCTTCTTCCTCCACGCGTGCCATAAGGGCATAGTTGTCTTCCTCCTCCTCCTCCTCAGAAGAATCTTCTGCCCAGTTCTCATTCTCAGCAATCATGGCAGAGGTTTCTTCTTCTTTCTGCACCATCAGCATTTTCTGCTTATTCCACAGCATCTTCTGCTTGTAGAAGTTAACATCTTTCTTCTTTGGAAGGCGGCAATCTTTAATAACATGTCCAGGCTTACCGCAATTGTAGCATTTTGGAGCTTCTTCTACTGATGATGCCTTCCTAGAAGATCCTTGATCATGGTTCTTCTGCTTGTAGTTTGAGGAGGAAGTTCTCAGCCTGTTGGAGGAGCTGTTCTTCTTAGCAAATCTTTTGGCAAGCAGTGCCATCTTCTTCTGTAAGTCTGCTAGCTCAGCCTCTAGATCAGATTTGTCATCATCACTCTCATCATCATCTGATTCAACCACCACCTTCTTCTTTTTCTTCTTTAGTGAAGTGGTTGTCCTTCTTGGCTGAGCCTCCATTACAAGAGCTAAGGGGTTTGTGGTGTGATGATCCTCAGCACAAGCAACCTCGTTGACGAATTGCTTTAGATGTTCATAGAGTGTGCAGAGGTCAATTTCGTCCAAATCTATCCGAGATCTGACATCCTTCCCTGTTTTTTCCCATGCAGGATGCAGGCTAGATAAAAATCTAATATTCAGTTCCAGATTGGATCTGAATACTTTGATTTTTCTGAGTTCATTTACCAGTTGAACAAGTCTGTTGTAAGTCTCATTCAATGGTTCTCCTGGACCTGCTTTGAAGGAGTCATAAGCGATGAGAATCGTAGTCTTCTTGGTTTTGAGGCTGATGCTTGTGCCTTGTAGCAGCTTCTCTATTTCATCCCACATTTCCTTAGCTGTCTGCATGCTATCAATGAGAACATAAACTTCATTTGGTATTGCTTGAAGAAGGTATGTTTTGGCCATAAGGTCACCACGAAGTCTGAGCTTGTCAGCTTCTGTGCATTCAGATGGCACTTTCCTCCTTATTTCTGGAAAAATAGGAGGATTATTTTCTGGATCTCCACCAACTGAAATCAAGAGTTGAGCTGATCCTTCAAGCAATGATTCAAGCATCGCAGCGGAGTTCTCTTTGTGCTCGAGGAAATTAAGAAATCTGTTCCTCCACATTTGATATTCTCCCTTCCTGAGGCTAGGAGGGGTACTGTTGTTCCCTTGTGCATTGTATTCTGAAGCCATTGTTGTACTAAACTGACCGTTCGAGAAAATTGATCAAAAGATTTTCAGAGGCAGAAAGTCGAAAAATCAGATGTCGAGATCTGAATATCGAAATCTCAGATTTCGATAAAGGAGGCCTGGTATCGAGATTTGAGCTCGAAATTAAGGATCTCGAGATTAGGGATCTCGAGATTTCAAATTTCGAGAAGCTGATCTCGAGATTTGAAATGTCGAGAAGTTAATCACTCGAAATCTTAATCTGAGAAATCAAATGTCGAGACCAGATGTCGAATCCTTTTCTCGAAATCAAGATCTCGAAATCCTAGATGTCGAAATCCTCAATGTCGAAATCCTGCAACCTGTAAAAATCAGATAAACAAAATCTGAAGGTAGTTTCCTGTAGAGTAGAATGTCGAGATCCTCAGGTAAAGTTTTCAGCTCGAAAAACGTAGCAGAACCTGTGAAAAAGCAGGATGTCGACAACCCCTACTCGAGATATCTCGAAATCTGAATTTGCGTAAAACACAATTTGAAGTATACCCTTTGATCGCTTTGAAAAGGCGATTCTAAAGGTGTAACTTTTACAATTTTTGAACAAGAAACAAAATTACAGAGCAAAAAATCGACAGAAAGAACTACGTTAACAAAAACAGAGAATTCTGCAGGAGTTCTTCTGATCGGTTCTCGACAAGCTCTGATACCAATTGTCAGTCCCTGTTTCTGTAACAGCAATGAATAATCGATCTAACAAGGAAGATTATACGTAAGGATGAACACAGAATGAATCACCGTAAAACCTTCTTTGATAAACCGTGAACTCGTACAACAGAAAGATATGCGCGTAAGGCTATGAATAATAAGTACGACGTTAACCTATTCCTAAACCTCGGCTCCCTTTTTATAGGCGAGGTTTAGGTTAGGCGTACCAGGCTTTTAGCCTGTTTATATGGGCCTAACACTTGGCCTGAAATCTATCTAATTCATGCACTAATTAAATACAAGGATTAAATATAAAGCTAATCTATGACCAACTTGATTCACAATTAAATATCTCCAACATTATTATTATTATTATTATTATTATTATTATTATTATTATTATTATTATTATTATTATTATTGTTATTATTATTATTATTATTATTATTATTATTATTATTATTATTATTATTATTATTATTATTATTATTATTATTATTATTATTATTATTATTATTATTATTATTATTATTATTATCATTATTACTATTATTATTATTATTAGGGGTATTATTATTATTGTTATTTTATTATTATTATTATTATTATTATTATTATTATTACAAATGTTTCTAATTTCACTCTAAACCTGTGTAGAAATTGTTTAATATCTCGTTGGAAAGATCTTACCGAGTTCTAAAACTTGTTTTCAGGCGCGGGTTTCATAGAGATAAGGCTAAGTATTTGTGACACTCATATCTTGCTGTGTGTTTACCTGTTTGGAGCGTATTATATCTCGTTGGAAAGATAGATCGGAGCTATAAAGCTATTGTTCCAACTTCATTTACAATGCATTAATTAAAACTTACAGATTAACGATATATTCACAAATGTTTCTGATTTCACTCCGAACTCGTGTAGAATTTGATGCGATCATATCTTGCTCTATTTTGTGCCATTGAAAGCGTTTAATATCTCGTTGGAAATATCATACCGAGTTCTAAAACTTGTCTTCAGGCGCTGGTTTCAAAATATCAATGGAAGATTGCCTAATTACTACAATACACTGTATTTACGCTAAAAGTGCTCTATTTTCGCTGAAAACACTAAATCATAGAGATAAGGCTAAGTATTTGTGACACTCATATCTTGCTGTTTGTTTATCCATTTGGAGCGTATTATATCTCGTTGGAAAGATAGATCGGGGATCTAAAGCTATTGTTCCAACTTCATTTACAATGCATTAATTAAAAGTTAGAGATTAACCATATATTCACAAATGTTTCTGATTTCACTCCGAACTCGTGTAGAATTTGATACGATCATATCTTTCTCTATTTTGTGCCGCTGAAAGCGTTTAATATCTCGTTGGAAAGATCTTACCGAGTTCTAGAACTTGTATTCAGGCTCTGGTTTCAAAATATCAAGGGGTGAATGCCTAATCACTAAAATTCACTGTATTCACGCTAAAAGTGCTCTATTTTCGCTGAAAACGCTAAATCATAGGGATAAGGCTATGTATTTGTGTCACTCATATCTTGCTGTGTGTTTATCCGTTTGGATCGTATTATATCTCGTTGGAAAGATAGATCGGAGCTCTAAAGCTATTGTTCCAACTTCATTTACAATGCATTAATTAAAAGTTACAGATTAACCATATATTCACAAATGTTTCTTATTTCACTCCGAACTCGTGTAGAATGTGAGGCGATCAGATCTTGCTTTATTCTGTGCCATTGAAAGCGTTTAATATCTCGTTGGAAAGATCTTACCGAGTTCTAAAACTTGTCTTCAGGCGCGGGTTTCAAAGTATCAAGGGTTGATTGCCTAATTACTGAAATACACTGTATTTACGCTAAAAGTGCTCTATTTTCGCTGAAAACGCTAAATCATAGAGATAAGGCTAAGTATTTGTGACACTCATATCTTGCTGTGTGTATATCCATTTGGAGCGTATTTTATCTCGTTGGAAAGATAAATCGGAGATCTAAAGCTATTGTTCAACTTCATTTACAATGCATTAATTTAAAGTTACAGATTAACCATATATTAACAAATGTTTATGATTTCACTCCGAACTCGTGTAGAATTTGATGCGATCATATCTTGCTCTATTTTGTGCCGTTGAAAGAATTTAATATCTCGTTGGAAAGATCTTACCGAGTTCTAAAACTTGTCTTCAGGCGCTGATTTCAATTTTTTGGATGAAAGGTAATTGTATTAACACCCAAAAATAACATCGTACAATGTGTCCACGAAATCATAGCAAACTATCTAAGCTAGAAGAACTAACCTAGATATAAACATCCCAAACACTCTAGGTATGAAGATATCAGGACAAGCCCCTAGATAAAGACCAAATCATAGTTTTCATAATGGATGCATGATTAAATACTAATCTATTCTAACAAAGCTTTTCTTCCCATCCTTATCCACACGGACTCTCAAAGTGTACTTGACAGGTGGTTTGGGAGGTAGCACCACCGTGGGCATGGTAGTTCCCAGTGAGATGGGGGGTGCGGATTCCGGAGCAGTTTCTACCGTAGGCCTTGTTCCCACCTCCTCCCTGATCCCCATCACAAGCTCCACGGTTTCAGTCTCCTTATGTGCCACGTCTGATACAAATTCCGCCACCGGTTCCTGGGCCAATGCAGCTCCCTCAGGCCAGACTACCGTATCCATAAGCTCAACTAACTCACCCAACTCATCAGTTTCCTTCTCCTTGGTCTCGTTGCAAATCTGCTCAGAGGTAGGACTTTCATCCACATAAAGATCACTTGTTGTGTTCACCTCCTTCTCATGTAGATTTTTTTTCCAATTCCTCCTTTTCATGTAATTTTTTGCAAATAAATGGGTTGTGCCCATATTTTTTGCAATGAAAACAAAAATTTGGAAAAGTTTCATAAACCACCGATTGGTTAATTACCTTATGTGAGGGTAGTCGAATAGGAAATGAAAGAATGGGCGGTTTCGACGCATCCACTTCAATAAGCACTCTAGCAAACCTATGATTGCTCCTTTCTTGGGTGATCAAGTCTGTAGTCATTGGCATCCCAACCATAGAGGCTACTTCACTCATGGCTTCTTTATTCCATAGTTTCATTGGTAGGTGTGGGAATTTAATCCAAATCGGCACTTTGAGGAACTCTTCATCCTCAAAAGTAAAGTCTTCAGATAAAACCTTCAACATGAGAAGCTTGCCGTAGATGACATAAGGTTCCTCATTCAGTATTTTCATTCTGTCCGCATCGGTATGGAATTTAAAAATCACCCAGCCCTTATCGTGGGACTTGATTTGGCACTTCACACCTCACCTAAACTTCAGCTCATGGACAGCTTTTAGCCCAGGAAAACGACCTGTGAAGAAACCAACTAGGCAATATCCCCACATATCAACCATGGATGGCATAACTCTATCAGAGAAGTCCAGGGTATTACCTCTAGGAGGCACAAAATTCAGTTTGATTCCATTAGAAGGGGCTCGGTTGTCCTTAAAGAGAGTAGTCCATGGTTTTTCAACCAAATTCTTCTGTTTTGTGATTGTTCCAGCGTAAGTCTATACTGGTTGGGCATTTTGAGCAGTCTTACTGCCTTCTCCGCCTGTATCAGTATCCAGAATCTCCAGCAGTGGCTTGGCAGTGGCCATTTCACCCTCTTTTGTCTCATGCTGCACACTGCCAGTGTGCCCAACCTTCCCTGCAGTCACTGTTTTGGCATTTGGTTCAGGAGTTCCCTGCGCCAGGGCAGTCATATTCACAAAATCCCCAGTTTCCCTCAACGGTGCGTTTGGTATCACAGTTGACCCCAGTGAAGAAACCCTAGGTGTAGTCTTCACAGTTGCAGAAAGGGATGGGAATTCATCTTCCAAATCTTCCAGTACAGAGAACTTGGAAACTGACCTGGTAGCTCGCGGCATAGACAGTCCCGTATTCCCCTGCTTCTGTCGCGCCATTGAAGCTAGGGCTTTCCAGGTGAAAGAAGTTACTGAGTTTGTTTCTCCTTCGAATAACAAATCCGAGCTCAGAACAGGTTCAGCGACTTCAAACGAACCTTAGAATTTAACCCCAGGCGTCGAATCAGAGAGTTCAGGCCAGATTCGTCGTTCGTGTGAACAGTAGAATTTCGTATATCAGTTCAATTCTTTTTTTCAATACGTCGCCCATATACTTTTCAATCCCAAATCCAAGTTCGGAAATGGGATGAGAGTTCAGGCGCTGATTTCAAAATATCAAGGGATGATTTCCTAATTACTAAAATACACTGTATTTACGCTAAAAGTGCTCTATTTTTTATGAAAACGCTAAATCATAGAGATAAGGCTAAGTATTTGTGACACTCATATCTTGCTGTGTGTTTATCCGTTTGGATCATATTATATCTAGTTGGAAAGATAGATCGGAGATCTAAAGCTATTGTTCCAACTTCATTTACAATGAATTAATTAAAAGTTACAGATTAACCATATATTCACAAATGTTTCTGATTTCACTCCGAACTCGTGTAGAATTTGATGCGATCATATCTTGCTCTATTTTTTGCCGCTGAAAGCCTTTAATATCTCGTTGGAAAGATCTTATTGAGTTCTAGAACTTGTCTTCAGGCGCTGGTTTCAAAATATCAAGGGATGATTGCCTAATTACTAAAATTCACTGTATTTTCACTAAAAGTGCTCTATTTTCGCTAAAAACGCTAAATCATAGGGATAAGGCTAAGTATTTGTGTCACTCATATCTTGCTGTGTGTTTATCCATTTGGATCGTATTATATCTCGTTGGAAAGATAGATCGGAGCTCTAAAGCTATTGTTCCAACTTCATTTACAATGCATTAATTAAAAGTTACAGATTAACCATATATTCACAAATGTTTCTGATTTTACACCGAACTCATGTAGAATTTGACGCGATCATATCTTGCTCTATTTTGTGCCGTTAAAAGCGTTTAATATCTCGATGGAAATATCTTACCGAGTTCTAAAACTTGTCTTCAGGCGCTGGTTTCAAAATATCAAGGGATGATTGCCTAATTACTAAAATACACTGTATTTACGCTAAAAGTGCTCTATTTTGGCTGAAAACGCTAAATCATAGAGAAAAGGCTAAGTATTTGTGACATTCATATCTTGCTGTGTGTTTATCCGTTTTGGGCGTATTATATCTGTTGGAAAGATATATCGGAGCTGTAAAGCTATTGTTCCAACTTCATTTACACTGCATTAATTAAAAGTTACAGATTAACCATATATTCACAAATGTTTCTGATTTCACCCCTAACTCGTGTAGAATTTGATGTGATCATATCTTGCTCTATGTTGTGCCGTTGAAAGCGTTTAATATCTCGTTGGAAATATATTACCGAGTTCTAAAACTTGTCTTCAGGCGCTGGTTTAAAAAAATCAAGGTATTATTGCCTAATTACTAAAATACACTGTATTTACGCTAAAGGTGCTGTATTTTCTCTAAACACGCTAAATCATAGAGATAAGGCTAAGTATTTGTGACACTCATATCCTGCTGTGTGTTTATCCGTTTGGGGCGTATTATATCTCGTTGGAAAGATAGATCGGAGCTCTAAAGCTATTGTTCCAACTTCATTCACAATGCATTAATTAAAAGTTACAGATTAACCCTATATAAACAAATGTTTCTGATTTCACTCCGAACTCGTGTAGAATTTGATGCGATCATATCTTGCTCTATGTTGTGCTATTGAAAGCGTTTAATGTGCCATTGAGAGCGTTTAATATCTCGTTGGAACGATCTTACCTAGTTCTAAAACTTGTCTTCTGGCGCTGGTTTTGAACTCGGTAAGATCATTCCAACGAGATATTAAACGCTTTCAACGGAACAAAATAGAGCAAGATATGATCGCATCAAATTCTACACGAGTTCGGAGTGAAATCAGAAACATTTGTGAATATATGGTTAATATGTAACTTTTAACTAATGCATTGTAAATGAAGGTTGAACAATAGCTTTAGAGCTCCGATCTATCTTTCCAACGAGATATAATACGCTCCAAACGGATAAACACACAGCAAGATATGAGTGTCAGAAATACATAGCCTTATCTCTAAGATTTAGCGTTTTCAGCGAAAATAGAGCACTTTTAGCGTAAATACAATGTATTTTAGTAATTACGCAATCATAAATTGATATTTTGAAACAAACGCCTGAAGACAAGTTTTAGAACTCGGTAAGATCTTTCCAACGAGATATTAAACGCTTTCAACGGCACAAAATAAAGGAAGATATGATCGCATCAAATTCTACACGAGTTCGGAGTGAAATCAGAAACATTTGTGAATATATTGTTAATCTGTAAATTTTAATTAATGCATTGTAAATGAAGTTGGAACAATAGCTTTAGGTTGTTTTTACTTGGACTGTAATTCGTCCCAGACTAGACCAGACCAGAACAAACCAAACCAGATCAAACCAGATCAGACCAGACTAAAACAGACCAGACCAGACCAGACCAGACCATATTTTATTATTATTATTATTATTATTATTATTATTATTATTACTACTACTACTACTATTATTATTATTATTATTATTATTATTATTATTATTATTATTATTATTATTATTATTATTATTATTATTATTATTATTATTATTATTATTATCATTATTACTATTATTATTATTATTATTAGGGGTATTATTATTATTGTTATTTTATTATTATTATTATTATTATTATTATTATTATTATTATTATTATTATTATTATTATTATTATTATTATTATTATTATTACAAATGTTTCTAATTTCACTCTAAACCTGTGTAGAAATTGTTTAATATCTCGTTGGAAAGATCTTACCGAGTTCTAAAACTTGTTTTCAGGCGCGGGTTTCATAGAGATAAGGCTAAGTATTTGTGACACTCATATCTTGCTGTGTGTTTACCTGTTTGGAGCGTATTATATCTCGTTGGAAAGATAGATCGGAGCTATAAAGCTATTGTTCCAACTTCATTTACAATTCATTAATTAAAACTTACAGATTAACGATATATTCACAAATGTTTCTGATTTCACTCCGAACTCGTGTAGAATTTGATGCGATCATATCTTGCTCTATTTTGTGCCATTGAAAGCGTTTAATATCTCGTTGGAAATATCATACCGAGTTCTACAACTTGTCTTCAGGCGCTGGTTTCAAAATATCAATGGAAGATTGCCTAATTACTAAAATACACTGTATTTACGCTAAAAGTGCTCTATTTTCGCTGAAAACACTAAATCATAGAGATACGGCTAAGTATTTGTGACACTCATATCTTGCTGTTTGTTTATCCATTTGGAGCGTATTATATCTCGTTGGAAAGATAGATCGGGGATCTAAAGCTATTGTTCCAACTTCATTTACAATGCATTAATTAAAAGTTAGAGATTAACCATATATTCACAAATGTTTCTGATTTCACTCCGAACTCGTGTAGAATTTGATACGATCATATCTTTCTCAATTGTGTGCCGCTGAAAGCGTTTAATATCTCGTTGGAAAGATCTTAACGAGTTCTAGAACTTGTCTTCAGGCTCTGGTTTCAAAATATCAAGGGGTGAATGCCTAATCACTAAAATTCACTGTATTCACGCTAAAAGTGCTCTATTTTCGCTGAAAACGCTAAATCATAGGGATAAGGCTATGTATTTGTGTCACTCATATCTTGCTGTGTGTTTATCCGTTTGGATCGTATTATATCTCGTTGGAAAGATAGATCGGAGCTCTAAAGATATTGTTCCAACTTCATTTACAATGCATTAATTAAAAGTTACAGATTAACCATATATTCACAAATGTTTCTTATTTCATTCCGAACTCGTGTAGAATGTGAGGCGATCACATCTTGCTTTATTCTGTGCCATTGAAAGCGTTTAATATCTCGTTGGAAAGATCTTACCGAGTTCTAAAACTTGTCTTCAGGCGCGGGTTTCAAAGTATCAAGGGTTGATTTCCTAATTACTGAAATACACTGTATTTACGCTAAAAGTGCTCTATTTTCGCTGAAAACGCTAAATCATAGAGATAAGGCTAAGTATTTGTGACACTCATATCTTGCTGTGTGTATATCCATTTGGAGCGTAT